TTGAAATGTTGTATGTGATGCAAAATACATGAACTACCTAAATAGTTAGAACCAAAGGCAATTGGATTAGTCCATTCATCGACACAAACAATTTCACACAAAAACAAAACAGATAGGACTATTTCAGCACTCTAGTAAAATCAAAATTTCTAAAAATATAAGACATGAATTCTACATACAACAAGTCACCGATTTTAGGATACAAAACTGGATCTAATGCAAGAATTCTACATGTGGTAACCTAAATACGAAAAAGAACCAAGACTTCTCCCCAATCTTACGTCACAATGAAGTACCGCAGATTTCTCTAATAGTTAGGCTCATGTCGTTTTAGGTCTTCCTCTTCTCTTAACCTTTCAACTTCGCCCACCCCCCAACAAATAAATAAATAAAAACAAAAAAACAATGGCAAGTCGCAGTTTCCCTGCTGGATCATTTGCAGACCATCATTATACACGTCAAAGCCATCTCATACCAATTTACCTAATCTTCTATCTTAGCACTCCAACTTTTTCTCAAGTGCTTCCATCCTTAATTTTGTTAAATCAACCATAATCCATCTACACAACACTCGCCCATTAATACCTTACCAAATTAAGTAAACGAACTGAAAATCCGACAAGACTATCGCAATCAAAATAGCTTGCTGCTTGTTAACAGTGGCTTCTGATCAACTATGAAATACCAACCTCTCAAAGAAGGAATATACACAGGTAGAGATACCAATATCAAGATCATCCTTTATAGCAACAAGAGGACTGGACATATAAACAGCATAGTACTAACAAAGCAGCTCATGTAAAAAGCCTTCACACGTTAAAGCCGCTCAAATTATATCTGGCGAGTGCTTATGCCGACCATGCATCCCCCGACACCCAAAAACCCAGTGCTCACACTCAAAAACAGAACAAGGACCATGACCATGCATCCACGACAACTCTCGGCGACCAGTTCCAACCAACAGGAGAAAGAAAATTAAATCCATGCAACCCAAAACGATCTTCCGAAACTAAATGCAATCAACATCGAAGATTCGAACAGTCAAACTAACCAAAATAACGAAACTTGATTCAATCCGGTTTTGCAACGGGGCTTCTAGACCGAGAAAACCTCATTTCGATAGATCAAAGACAATCGCTTTGACAAACTTGGGATTTCAAAAACCAAATACACGCCAACTGCGTATCAGATACCCACATAAAAACGAGGAATACCGCATCAAACAACGAACGCAAACAAGACCAAAAGAAAAAAAAAGCCCCACTTTAGGCCAATACCATCGTAATCATCCGAAAGCCCCCGCGGCTGCCTCTACATCTACCATCAAATCCCACCAAAATTCAAAGCCTTTCGCGGCCAGCGCAATACAGACACGGCAGAAAAGCCCCGATTCGGGAACTCGATCGACGCACAACCTAGAGGAAATGCAAAACGTCTCTCCATAGAAGGGAGCCCAATTTCACCGAATTTCACACGAAACAAAGCCAACGGAAGGCGGAGAAAGAAAGATAAACGAAGGAGGAGGAAGAAAAGAAACACCCAGGCATGGATGGGACCTAGCGCCCGAAGCCGATTCGACACGCCGGCGGCCGGGAATTCCGGCGACTGCGCTCGTTCCGGCGACGTACCTGAGCGGGGAGACGCCGGGGAGAGGGCCTCGAGCATAGAGAGAGAGAGAGAGAGAGAGAGGGAAAGTAAACCCTAGAAAGGTTTGGGCTGATCTGATTTCTGCCAACTCTCTCTCTCTCGATTTTTGTGTGCGCCGTGTCAAAGATGCCTCGCGGATGGATAGAGGTGCGACCCGACGCGTGGCGGTATGGGGGACCGTCGATCGCGTTTCGTCTGGCCGGTCCTTCGCCGTCGGATTTTTCGATTTCCTCAATTTTTTTGCCCCTTTTTTCTTTGTGCGCTCTTTTTCCGGCCGATGGTGAAGTTACGGGCACCCAGGTATTTTCTGAATCTGAAAACCTAAAAACTAACAAAATAGAATGCGCAATTTCTGGCCAAAACATATATAAAATATATACGCAATTGGAAAGAAAAAAGGAAAGTAGAGTTTGTTTTTTTTTAAATCAGTCCCATCTCTAACTCCGACTATTGCAGAGTGCGGAAGTCGAACCCTGCACCTGTGATACTAGTGTTGCCACCCCCAACCCATTACCATACTCCAAACTAGCACACTTGTAACAAATTTACTCAAAACTAATTTTTTAGTACACCCCTTCATTAGTTTCCGTTAATTTTTACCGTCAAATTGCTGAGTTTGATCACACGTGACAGTTGATGGGTGTACCGTTTTGATTTTTTACCTCCGTTTGTCACCCGGTGTACCAGTTTGGATTTTTTACCTCCGTTTGTCACTAGATGTACTGGTTTGAGTCTTTTACCTCCGTTTGTCACCAGGTGTATCGGTTTCTGATTTTTTTTTGTATTAATTCAATATAATGGAACTAACATATGGTAAATTTGTCACAAATGTACTGATTTTGGATTTTTGGTGGTCAAAAAATTAGTTTGAAGTGAATTTGTGGCAAGTGCATCAGTTTGGGGTCTTTGGTGTTATTTGTTTAAATGATATGCATTTTTCTTTTGAGCTTTTCCTTTGCACATACATGTTAATTACTTTCTTCGTCATTAATTTTTAATTGTTTGATTACCAAAACTTTTCGAGATATTTATACCAAAAATCATAAAACTTGTCACTTTTATGCTCTTGACTCCCGAAACTTTCCTTTCATAAATCCATTATACTATATATATATAGTTAGAAGAGAATGTTTGTCCCGTGACTCGCTAGTCTACACTTGTCATTACAATCGTGATTTCCACACCAATCGTGTTAGACCACTTAGCATTTGCATATTAATTTGCGAATTTCCCGCTCTCCTCTCGATTGTGTTAGTAAGAAGAAAACATCGGCACCTCTTTAGTAGATTGAAATGGAAATTTTGATTTACATTTCTTAATCGCATTCCTTGTTTGGTACAATATATATATATTGAAATCATCATTTTCAAAGGAATTGCCATTCCTTCATCGAGAAATTTGTTCCTATATTCTCTTCATCTTTCTCATTTTATGTGGAAAATGAATTTTTTTATATCCATGTTATCCTTTGACGTTTTTTGCGTGAAGATTCGATTTTCTTAACTTTTAAATCGGGGTACCTGTTTTTAAGCTTTCTAAGGGCAATATAGGAGTTTTAGACTTCAATTCTCATTCCATTCCTCGATTTATATGCCCAAATCAAACTAAACAAAATGAGAATTCCTTCAAATTCCATTATTGCCACCCAAATTAAAAGATTGAAATGCCCATCCCTTTACTTTCCACTATGTAACCCCCTCTCTCTTCATGTTTTCGGATCACGTTTCAGATAATTTTATATATTTATATTGGGTGCTTTGTTTCATTCTTATGAGAGAAAACATTTTTGAATAATCTTGTTTATCTTTTTTTAAAATTTTTGTGTAAAGATTGATGAGATGTTTCTCTAAAAGTATTAAAGTGAATAAGGACAAGATTTAGACTTAATATAGATACATGGTTCGTGTATTGCCCGAGCATATCTTTTTTCATAGGTTTCGATCGTTTATAAAGTCGTTTGAAGGAAATATGATATAAAATAAGTGTCGACAATGCGTTTGGTACAATAGAAATGAATGGAATGAAATGAAAAGAGATTCCAATTTCTTTGTTTGGTTGTAATTAAATAAAATAATGAGAATGGAATGCAACAATGATTCCTTTGTTTGGTTGCCGGAGAATGGAATGGAATGGAATTTGTGTAAATTAAATTTTCAATTCATTAGACTTGCATTTTATTGAAATTGTGATTTTATTACACGATACTATATCTGAATTTTTAAAATATTTATGAAGTATTTATATGAAAATCATAAGTGATGAATTGACATTAATAAATGTCATAGATGATTGTATATTTTTAAATAAATTTGAATTAGTATTTTATGAGGTCTTCTTTATATAAGATCACTATAATTAGAAAGAAGCATTAATGAGGGCAATTATAATATACTATTAGGTCAATAAAAGAATTACTTAGGTCAACATTTACAGAAAAAGTTCATCTAATATTTGTTATCATAATTAATTATTTTTTTGTCAGAGTTGTCATAATTAATTCAATAAATTACTAATTTTACTAATTTAGAATTCCAATGAACTTAAACAATGTTCACTATTTAATCATAAAATTTTAACCATACACAATAATCAATTAGAATATAAAAATCTTATTACTGTAATAATAAACAAAATATTTTAAACAATATAATATTTTTAGATCATGAAAAATGCTATTTCATGATACGGCTAAGTTATTAGTTTAAATTTAGTAAATTTAATAAGAGGAGGGAATGTAATGGGCATTCCACTGGTCTATTTAGGGATAATGATACGATTGGTTCCTAAACTTTAGTACAATATGCGATGCGATCCATAATTTTTAAATTTGTTTAATACAATTCCTGAACTTTAGCCTAATGTGTAATGTCGTTGCTAAATTATTAATTTGTTTAATACAGTACCTAAAGTTTTAGTATATATTCAATATAATCCATGAATTGTATGAAAATGTTCAATGACATCCTTTCATTGATGAAAGTTTAGAGACAAAACGTCATTGAACATTTTCATACAGTTTATGGACTAAATTGAACGGTACGAAAGTCAAAGACCACATTGAACAATTTAAAAGTTCAAAGATAACATTGCACATTAAATTAAACTAAAAGTCAAAGACCAAACTGAACAAATTTAAAGTTCAAAAATCATATTATATATTGGATCAAAGTTCATGGACCATTCTATTTAAGACAATACCAATTGCACCCACTCCGACATTACCTTCTCATCTCTATGTCTCAAGCAACGTAGTAGAGAGAGAAACTTGGTTAGTATTTCGATTATTTCAAAAGAATGCCTGGTGATGTATTGAACTCCGAGTTAGGCATGGTGGAGAGAGAGAGAGAGAGACATTGTTAAGATCCTTCCATTGCCGTGATTTACAGGTCCTGATCTAGCAACCCATGTCTGTAAACGATACATATCATCCAAAGTGACAGTCACTACCAAGTACCATTCTCATAAGAGGCACATTACAGTGTTTCTAAAATCATCCCATTGTCTTTCTATATCACATACGCAACAACCGTCGTGGCTGCATCCACAAAGCTACAGCTGCCACCTCTTCCCGGTCGCCCCCCAGTCACGAGGAAACCAAGAAAGAGGTAGATTTCGAACCATTACAATCATCAATCATCATGAAAGATCCTGTGGTTCACAGCTGCAGTTATAGCTATCCCGCAAAGGGCAGCGTGCCAAGGGGGCGCGTCATCCTGGTGAAGCCCTTTGCTAGGCGGCACCAGCACCAGTTTCCGACACTGTTGTGAGTATCCCGACCTCACTCTTGCATAGAGGACACAATGCGTTGATCTTGAGCCACTTATCCACGCACTCCTTGTGGAAGAAATGGCTACATGGAAGCTCCCTCAGCTCGTCGTTGTTTGCATATTTTGCCAAGCATATGCAACAGACCTGCATATCAATTCCAGCAACAGAATAATCAAGAAGCTACCAGACCAACCAGACCAAGTAAATATTGAGAAGAAAAAAAGCCAGAATCCTATCAATGTGCCTATGGCTAAGAAAACCATAAAAAGAGCTAGAGCTATCGTCTTCTCCAGCTTAAATAACGGGCACGAAAATACCAGTCAAGACTGTAATTGTCAACCAAAGGTGTATCGAGAATATTGACCATACAAAAGCCTTCGTCACCCTAAAACTCGTTCATAATCATGGGCATGAGTTACATTCATCTAGTAATTGGTCTCACGGTACAAGATCCACCTCATGCACTATCAGAATTCAACTTTGAAGATCAGTGGCTTTAATAAGTAGTGTTGATTAATTTAACACAATCTCTGGCTCCAGTTCTACACTATGCTAAAGTTCATCTCTTTAATTTCATTATCAGGAAACTAAAACTATCTCAGGCACAATCATTCTTGAACTCCTCCCGAAATAATAATATTAGGGTGTTTACATGATATTAATTACCCCAAGTTGATTAAAGAAGCTGTATTTGACAGAATTACCAACACAAGTAGGGTCTTGTCACGTCAATAGGGCTAACCACATGGCTTTGATTTTGTTGGTTTATCATTTACTTAGAATTCGAATATAGAACGGATAGGAATTTTGTTAAGCATCCAACCATAAACAAATCGGGCTATATTTGACTAGTAAGAGATGATCAACACGAGAGACCTTCAATTCTGTCAAAAAGAAGCTACGCAATAGGAAAATGAGGGGACACTTACAGCATCATCCCCAGAAATCGTACGCTCCCTCTCTGTTCCAGCAGCTATTACTCCTTCACCTGAGTTTTCTGTATCACTGCTATTTCTGCTCTTCTTTAACTTAAACTTGTAGGTTGGCAGTGCATGAATTGCTTCATCTGTGGCTCCTCTTGTCCTCGACAAATCTTCTCTAAATCCAAGGATTGAAATTATACAGGGTAGGCAGCAGCAAATTGTTGCACATAGAATGAAGGGCATTGCATATCCGATGCAGCTAAAGGTAAGAAACACTATACATAGTCTGCAAGAAGAAGAACATGGAAATAAGTGAAAGGTAATACCAAGAATAAGGATACACTAAACATGATTACCAGGATTCTTTTCAACAAACTTTCAGCTCTGAAAAAAAGAAGAAGAAAGCTTATAATTATTACCTATACATATTGGGAGCCTCGTTAGCAGATGAGTGGCCTCCAAAGATCCACACATTCCCCACCACAAACCAAACTGCAAAGAAGCAGTCCAAGCCCATTTTGAAGTATTCCATTAGTGCCTTCACTCTGCGTCATATGAACAAAACATGACTGTCAAAAACCACCTAAGCAGCCCTATTAGAAAAAATGCAGCCCTCTTTTTATACCAAAGTCGAGCAGAAAAGGTTCTCTAGACAAGAAACCTAATAAATAGTTGGTAAGAGTCATCCGCAGAATGTCCAAAGGATCATATGTCGCATTCATGGGGTTTTGGAGGGTCAACACAATTGGCCAGGGGAAGACCATTCCCCAATAAAAAGGAGGAGAAAAGCCCAGAAAAGAAGAGAAGTAAGATACAGAATAAAAGATATGGCTATAGCCATTACCATCAGACAAGCGAAACTAAATAAATGATGCTCAAAACATCTTGACAATGAGTAGTGGCCACTTTAAAACAAGTCGGCATAGACACCAGGTCTCAACCACAAGGCTTTTTTAATTGAAGAATATTACAAGATGGATTTGACCTATGTTTTACCTGGGGAAAAGCCCCCAGAAACAAAAACGTAGTATCATGAAGAAAATTCATTTAAGTAAAGTACAGGGTCACGAGATTGATCAAAACCAACTCTGAAGTAGCTAGGCTTTCAAGCTCAATTAAGGAAAGAGAGTTAAAAGAAGCACGAACTTCAACTGTAAATTAGCGCATGCTCAGATTTCGGGAAAGCAGAGATATTAGCAGATCTAGTCAATCACATCATCAGCTGATATGTGTGACTTATCACCTATTCCACCACTGGGGTCATATGACTTCAACAACAGATTGATTATTCTTCACGAGAGCAACCAATCCGTTTGTGCATGTTGATCTATAGTCTTTTGGATATTTACAGGTACAAGGATAAAAAGGTGCCTAATTACTAAACTGTAACCTTCGTACAGATTCAAAAAGTTAAACAGGAAGCTTTCCATAGGCAAAACGTAAGCAACCCAACATTATACCAGGACGAATCTTTTTAGTGAGTAAGGCATGATATTTCATTTTTTTCCCTAAAGACACGAGAGACTACCCAATGAGTCACAATAAGAAAAAACAGAGGGCATGAGGAAAGCTAGATTAGAAGTGTTGTACAACGAAGACTGATGAAAAAAAGCTAAATGGAGTTTCTCAAAAACAACTTCATTTTTCTGATTCCTCATTTGGGAACTTAGGTTTGTCACGGCCAGAATACCTTTTAATACGCAACCAAGCTTCTTTCTGTCTATGAAAAAGAAATGAATGGGACTTCATCAGGTCGACAAAGAAAATTCTGGTAACAAACAAAATTTGCCTGATGAACTACAAATAACCTGAAGCAAAATTCATTACTAAGGTTTAATATCACACATACAAAGAAAAACATAGTAATGTAGCTTTTCCCACTGGCAAGCCATAGAGCAATAAGCCGTACCAACCAATTAACAACTTCTGCAACATTCACAGATAAAGATAAACGAATACCTCGCATTCAGTACTCCTGCTCTTTGACCACTCCTAGGGGACGCAATCGTAGTATGGCGGTCATCTGCATCTGTTGTTCTTGTTACTGAAAGAGAAAACGGCCCTGCAGGCACGCTTATCTGAGCTGGACCTTGGCGGGGTTGATTTGACTCTTGCTCTGAGACCTGATTACGATTGCGATAACGCCAATACAGAAGAGGCAACGTCGCCACACATCCAGCTGCATAACCCACAATCCACAAGAACAGGGGAGCACGTGGATGCTCATTCTTGGACACGGACAAAACAACAATAGATGCAACAATCTGGCTCACTGTGAGACCTAGTTCGATAGATATCCACATCCCTGAATTCAGTGGACTCCGGCGGCGACGGGCATCACCTCTCCTTCCCAACGAGGAACTTCTAGTGTTTGAATTATTATTGCTAGAAGGGATTGATGTTTGAGAAGTTGGTGCTCTTGACGTAGTCGCATGTCTGTCTGGATCTTGCAATGTATCCAAGCCATTAGAAGACCTATCCTGATGCGAACTAGATGAAGAAGCATCACTGCTCCTTATGTTAATAATATGCTCACTTCTGCTACCGTTCTCTGCCCTCTCCATCAACAATGGGTAAGTGTCTGGTAGGCTATCAGAATGTAGTTCCACTGAGGGAACATCCATCTAAGTGCAACGACCAAATAGAATGTAAAGATAGCATAGAACTGCTAGACAAGAACACAGCCTTTATGTCCTGACTCCTCAACACAAGGAGAAATTAAACCCGTTCAGAGCAGCCCAATCAGCTAGAGGACAAACTATTATCAATCTCAGCCTGCAAAGATTCAAAGCCCATGTCAGATTCATCAGACTCTACTTGAAGCAGTGCAAAAGATCACGAGCTCGAACTTAAACAGCTACTGGATTATCTCAACTTCAAATTAAAGAACATGGGTGGACAACTTTTATCCAGTAGAGAAGAAGATCTCGATACAACATCCTCAAATGCATATTCAACAACCAACCACTCGCTTTCTTTTTCTTTCTTTCTTTTTTAATTTTGACCATCCAAAAGCAATCTAACACAAGAAAGAACCAGATACAATGTAAGAGGCAACATCATTCAACCAAAGAAAAGCAAGTGTTGACGAATATTCTTCGATAGCTCTCACACTAGAGGAAAATTTCAGCTCCGGCAATGAAAATGATGGCTCATTGCGAAAAAACCTGAACCGCCCAAACGCCTCTCATAGCCAGAAATTTTAAAACCATTCAACAAGTAAACAGTACAACTTAAGCAGGTAAACGAAATCCTCCCAAACCCATCTTAATCACGAATATAAAAAAAAGGGAAACGGCCCTTTCGCCAGCAAATGATTCAAGATCAGTCCTGCTACCGGGCGAAAACACTCCAATTTCCTAATTCTTTCGACAGGCAACAAATCTTCCAACTCTCCAGGCCAGAATCGCGTCAACAGCCGAACCCAAGCCGGCGGCGCAAGCCGCGATCAGCATTACACCGATCGCAAAATTCAGCCTCCGAATTCGCACAAGACGATCAAGAAAACCCCCCCACAAAAAAAAAAGAACCCCAGAATTCCGCCCCGTTGACTGACCCCCCACCTCACCCAAGAACAAGAAACCAAGAAATCCTCAAGAACGCTCCAAGAAAAACCCACACAAAATCCCAGAAATCCCCCAAGATCCCGAGAAACCTAGCACAGAAACCTCGACCCACAAGACACCCACCTCGACCCAAGAAGCGCGAGCGCAAACACGAAGCCGCCGAACCACCCCACCCCCCACAGAAAACAATCGCACGATCAACCCACCAAATTTCAAGAAGCCTCTCGAGGACGCGCGAGAGAGAAGGAAAGGATCGCACCTGGATAAGGGTCGTGCGAGGGGGCGGAGACGCGGAGAGGTAGGACGACGGAAGGAAGGGAGGGAGGGTGGGAGGAGGACGACGTCGTGTTGGGGTTGGGGTTTGCGGGGGAGGGTTCGCTTTCGGTGGGGGGGGGAGCTCCTCTATCGGCGGTGGGAGAGATGAAACGTCGGGGTTGGGGTCACCATTGATTCGGTGCTTCGTCACCCAATACTTACGAATACGTGTTTGAGGGAGAGAGAGTTTGATGATGACGACGACGACGACGACGGGGATTCTTATGCCCCCGGTAAAAAAAGATAAAGTAAAAATTGTTTTTACTGCTACTTGTTTGGGAAATAACACAAATAGTCCATGAACTTTGACCCAATATGTAATTTGGTCCATGAACTTTTAATTTGTTCAATGTAGTCCCTGAACTTTAACCTAATGTTTAATTTGATCCATGAACTTTTGATTCGTTCAATGTGATCCCTGAACTTTTAATATGTATTCAATTTAGTCCCTGAACTATTTGAAAATGTTCAATATAGTCCTTCCATTAATTCAAGTGCAGGGACTATATTGAACATTTTCATATAGTTCAGGAACTAAATTGAACACATATTAAAAGTTCAGGGATCACATTGAACAAATTAAAAGTTCATGGACCAAATTGAACATTAGGTTAAAGTTCAGGGACCAAATTGAACATTATGTTAAAGTTCATGGACTACATTGAACAAATTAAAAGTTCATGGACCAAATTGCACATTAAGTCAAAATTTAAGGACTATTTATGTCATTATCCCTACTTGTTTTCCCCACGAGAAGTTAAAGAAAAAGGAAATCGATTGTCTATTTTTGGAGCTGGTTAAAAAAAAAGGGCCAAAATTGAAATTGGAAAAAAAGGGCAAAGGATAGCGGAATTCCTCTCCTCCGGTTTGCTCCGGCGAAGATTTTCGTTTTGAGTTAATACCATGAAAAATCCCAAAATGGTACACCATTAACAAATTTATTCAGAACTAATTTTTTCGCCACCAAAAATCCCGAACTGGTACGTATCTGACAAATTTACCCTCCGTTAGTTTCTGTTAAATTTTACCGTCAAATCGTTGAGTTAAATGACACGTGGCAGTTGACGGGTGTGTCAGTTTGGTATTTTACCCTCCGTTTATCATAGGTGTACCAGTTTGTGATTTTTCGTGGTATTAATTTAATTTAAAGGAAACTAACGGAGGGCAAATTTATCATAAATGTTCCGGTTTGGAGTTTTTGATGGTGAAGAAATTAATTTTTGGTATATTTTTCACAACCTCACATATGTACCGATTTGAGATCTTTCGTTGTCAAAAAATTAGTTAGGTATACCAGTTTAGAGTTTTTCGTGATATTAATCTAATATTAAATCTTTCATCGTTCAGTTGACTCTAAATTTGTACCGGGTTCATCGCTTAAGTCATCCCGTTACCAACATTTGCTTTAGATGGACGGGATGACTAATTCCTTTTATGAATTTTTTACCTTTTTCCTTGTAGACACATTCGTTGATGTGGTACCACGAAAAAGACACATCAAAAAAAATTCTAAAAAATGAGAATGAAATAATACTAAAAAGGACAAAGGGAGAGAGAAATGCCAACAGGTTCGAGACTGCATAAGGGAGGCCAGCCCTTGCCGCCACCGCCACCATGCTTGCCGCCACCGAGCAAAACGAGGTTGAGCAACCCCTTGTCGGTGAACTGGCGAGGGCGGCCCTCGCTCTTGCCCCGACACCAGCGACGACTGCCCTTGTCGACGCAAAGGGGCAGCATAGCCTAAGCTCTACCCTTAGTCTTTGTTTTTTTTTATTAAGATTTCATTTCTTTATTCTTTTACTTTCATATATATCTTTTTCTAATTTCCAATTTTTTTTCAAAATTTTTTCCGACAATTTCTGATCTGGCAAATTGCAAAATAACATCGCTTTGTGCTTGAAGAAGTTTCATCACCACGTTAATCAAGGGCTAATTCCAAAAAAAAAGTATAAATTTTATCTTGAGTGACAATTCTTGCTCGAACTTTTTTTATCTCAATAAAAAGCACCAACTTTTACTCAAGTCTCAAATTTGGCTCCCATGATGTGAATTTTTCAAATTGTTGGGCCGAATTTGAAATTTAAGTGAAAGTTGATGATTTTTTATGAGATGAAAGAAAGTTCATGACATAATCGTCATTCAAGGTAAAGTTAGTACTTTTTTTTTTTAATTAGGCCCGTTAACTGGTCACGCAGGATTGAAAACACGATAGAAAAATGCCATGCGTGTAATGGAAGTCCTGAAGTGTAAGTTGAAAAAATATTCCGCGGCTCAAATGAATGGTTAAAAAATATTTTTAAGGACTAAAGTGTCGGATGAAAACAAATTTTAATATTTGCACTTTCATTATCATTTTTTTTTCCAAAGAAAAGGTGCAATCAGTGTAATCATCATTCCATACATCATCAGAAAAGCCTCTTATGTTCGACTTAAATTGTAGCTGCCAAACACTACCTGTTAATTCAAAAATCAGAATTCGACAGATCCGTCACCGCATCTCGCATCAACCTTAATCGGAGGGCGGGCCCAAACCCGAAGAGGATCAAAAGCCGTGTCCCATGTGCTGTCCATGTCCGCTCATAATCTGTGACATATCTTAAGACATCCAAGTATGAATGGAATCGGACTTTGAGCAAAAGCCAAGCGAGCCCAAGCCCCTTTTGACATAGGGTCGTTGTCCAACTCCGCCCACTCGCCGTCCCGGATCCCCGGCACGTTGGTCACGTGTCGACGGGACGTCGACGGGCGGCTTTGCTTCGTTCTGATCTCACCCTCTTCTTGGTATCTTCCTTTTCTTTCCCCTATTTCGGTTTTGATTGGAACCTGAGGAAAAGAGGATTCAGCGCTTTCCTTAAAGAAGGTTAGCCGTGTGGGATGACGACGACACCGTTTCGGCCATCTCTCCATCTCTCCGAAAGATATTTCAGCAGTTTCCCAAAAGGAAGGGGCCGCGTGGGGACGACGACGACGACGCCGTTTTTGTGTTAATAGTAAAAAGCAAGCAAGCGCGTCGACCTCAATACACGAAGAACGAGCGTGTGATTTCCGAGATTGTCGGCAGTTTTTCGATTTACAAAACAAATTTAGGATCTCCAAATAAATAAATAAAAGAAAGGGAAAATAATATATATGATCCTTCAATTTTGACCCATCCCCGAATTTTTAATTTATTTAATGTGGTCCTTGAACTTTTGCAATTATGCCAATTTAGTCCTAAACCTTTTGCAATTGTGCCAATTCAGTCCATCGGGCCACTTTTGGCTGGCTGGCGCTGACGTGGATGCCGGCCGGCGCCGGCACGGCTGACGTGGCAATTTTTAATAATTATTTTTTTATTTTTTATTTATTTTTTCTCTTTTTTTTTTTCTGGCCTATCTTCTTCCCCGGTCGCCGGTCCGGCGACCGATGAGAGGCTGAGGCTGGAGAGGTTGACGCCGGCCTCAACCTCTCGCCGGTCGCCGGACCGGCAACCGGGGAAGAAGATAAGTCAGAAAAAAAAACGAAACAGAAAAAAATATAAAAAAAATCGAAAAATAATAAAAAATTATTAAAAATTGCCACGCCGGCGCCGGCCGGCGTCCACGTCAGCGCCGGCCGGCCAAAAGTGGCCGGATGGACTAAATTGGCACAATTGTAAAAGGTTTAGGACTGAATTGGCACAATTGCAAAAGGTTTAGGACTTTTTTGGTAATTTTCCCACTTTTGGTACGTGTTCAAACTGGTCCCTGGACTATATGAAAATATTCGATGTGGTCCATAAAGTTTTAATTTGTTCGATATGGTCCGTGAACTTTTGATACATGTTCAAACTAGTCACAACATTATAATCTCGAAATGAGACTTGAGGCTTGTGATAATATGATATAGCCTTGGGAGGCCAGTTCAATTCCGGCCACGGAATTCTAGGGTACTCGATTCTTTCTAACATTATAATCTTTTTGCCGCAGGAATAGGAGGAGGTCAGTTCTTAATGGACTTCCAGTAAAGCTCGTTCAGGGGAAAACTGCAAAAAAAAGTTTTAAATATATTACGCTTGTGTCAATTCAGTCATAAACCTTTCGATTATGCCAATTGAGTCCTAAACATTTTCATGTTTTGCCAATTGAGTCCATCTTGCTAATTTTGATTGGAAATTGCCGATATGGATGCCAGTCGTCTTACGTGCAGCCCTACGTGCACGGCCAGAACTAACGTGGATAATTTTTGTAATTTTTGTCAAATATAAACTTTTTAATAATTTTTATTTCCTTTTTCCTTTTTCTCTTTTTTTTTCTTCCTATGCTGCCATCCCCATGGCCAGCGACTGGCAGCGGAAGAAGGAAAAAGAAAAAGAAAGAAAAGAAAATAAAAGAAAATAAAGTTATTTAAAAATAAAATAAAGAAAAAAGATTTATAAAATTTACTTTTTTTAAATTGTAAAAATTAACCATGTGAGCGCTGGCCGTGACATGTACGACGGTCGGGTCCATAGTAATTTCTGGTCAAAACTGGCCGTATGGACTCAATTGACAAAACATGAAAAAATTTAAATTCAATTGACATAATTGAAATGTTTAAGACTCAACTGATACGTGTGCAATAGGATTATGATTTTTTTAGTAATTTTCGTCTAGTTGGTGAATATGTGGCCAATCTATCCTTTTTAGTAGGTTTAATGTTGGTTCATTCTTGATGAGATGAGCCCACCATTAGTAGTAAGGGGTGTCAATGGGTCGGGTCGAGCTTTGATGATACCCGCCCTGACCCGAAACCTAGAGGGTCGCGCTTGAGGCGCCCTGACCCGACCCAAGACCCTGTTTAGCATATCAACCAAGAGAAGGGTTAGGTCGGGTTGGTCCGAATCCGGTTTCGTGGGTTGTGTTTTTTTTTTTTCTTTTTGGGGAAATGGGTGTCAAACCCATGCCTGAACATAGAACCAAAAACGCCTGCGCAACCCATAAATAATCCCACAATCCATCATTCTTAGATCCAGAACTTATCAACAATCCCCACCAAAACATGGACAATCACAAAGGCGGAGGGGAACACAGCGAGGCGGTTGCTGCTGAAGAGGTTGCAAGCTGTGACGCATATC